GTGTGATGTACGTAGAACCATGATCCCCTGTGCGCAGTCAGATGGAAGGACATGTGGTGTGATGTACGTAGAACCATGATACCCTGTGCGCAGTCAGATGGAAGGACACGTGGTGTNAACCATGATACCCTGTGCGCAGTCAGATGGAAGGACACGTGGTGTGATGTACGTAGAACCATGATACCCTGTGCGCAGTCAGATGGAAGGACACGCGGTGTGGACATGTGGAGTATTTCCAAGAGTATCCAGCAACTTAAACATGGGTTTTGAATTCAAGGGCTTTTCAAGGATTTAGCACTTCATGGATAACATACTATACGATACAAATCTTAAGTATTCTTCATAGATTTTCATCATATTAAAACCAAAGTATCATGATATTATTTTCCTCCTTGTCAAAAAATGGTTCCATTTCGATAAAAAATCTCAATACAACGTCGACGCATGCGCGAATGATGTGCCATCCGACTGCGCCCTATCTTGCTGTAATCTCCAATAAAGTCTTTTGGTCATGAAAAAAAATACGTTATACTTAGTAGGTAGTGAATATCTGCACGTATGATTGTCATTAAGCGAACCGCAGTCATTATATGGTTTATATATCAATAAAAATTCAAAAACCCTTACTAATTAAACTAAGTGTAAAACAAAGTTTTACTTCCTACGCTGGTAACTGATTTTTAAGGGTTTCACTAAGTTTTAGACGGTAAACGCGTGGAAATAAATGCGCATGTGCCGAATGGCCATTTTAAGCTTGACGTCACCGTTGGAAAATTGCTTCCTGTAATTAAAAAAAAAGCAAAGAATTTAGTCTTTTTGTTCTTAATTAATTGATATCTAATTAACACTAGAGTGGAAATTTCTGTCAAAATAGCAGGAAGAGCGTCACTTCCTAAAATGTCCTATTATAGAAGATGTAAGCAAGTAACTAAAAAGCTCTTTTAACAGACAAACCTAAAATTAGGATTGGGGTCCCTGTGGTAAAAATTCTAGTTGTGAAATCCTTACACGATCCACAGGGTTCCCAATCCTAAAGAACCAAAAATAAAGTTGCTGGTGGAGGAGCGGAACAATGCAAAGGAGATTTAACGATTGATTTCTAATAGTGCTCGAGACTCTCATAAGGACTTATTGTAAATTTATGACATCCTGTTTCGGTAGTATTTAATGAAACTGAAAGTTCTGATTTCAGCTATTCGCGCAGATTTGCCCATCGGGTGGTTCTTAACGACTACCGGTTCAAAAACATCTACGCGAAAGCCACAATCCGCAAATTGCCTGTCTCTGAATGCCTTGATCCATATCTCAGTGTTAGGCCGTGTAAATTGCAGAAAATACAAAAAGCAATATTTAAAAGAAAAATAATATTTAAAAAAACCATCTTTCAGTTTATTGTCATTCTATAATTTTTTGATGTACAGTATCTATATTTGATTGCCATTATGTTGACACCTATTTCAATGAACACTGTCATCGCCAAAGGCAATAGGCGATAGGTCATTCCGCGACATGGAAATGGTTTCGTTGAATACAAAGAACATCGAATCAGTCTCAAAACTAAGGTCCATGTTCTTGACGAGAATAAGGAGCAGAAACGCAAGCCATTCCAGCTATTCTTGGATCTCCTATCACTTTTCGCCTATCGCCTGTTGCCTATCGCCTTTGTCGATGACAACGTTTATTGAAACGTGTATTCACTCTTGATAATGACACCGGTTTGTGTCAAAACGTCGAGTAAACTTGTCGCCATAAACTTTATAAATAAATAAAAGCAAACAAACAAAAAGAAAAAACAAAACAAAACAAAAAAACATGTACTGGAGTTATGATGTTCATTCAATGAATATCAAAAATATGTTTACGAGCGATTTTCTGATGGTTTTACGTTCGGATCAACAATGGAACTATAAAGAAAAAGCATGAAGATTCTGTTGAATTTTAAAAATTCTCTTAGATAAGCTGATTGATTGATTTGTCAAAAGTGCGTGTGAAATTCAGCAAGAAATAACTTTTTACTTGTCTACTGGGGACACTGATCTTCTCTCTCTCTCACAAACATGCGCACGCGCACTACATTTGTTGCTCTACGAATAAGAATCTAGTACAGTTCTTCAAATCTTATAGTTACCCTGAAACATCCTCTGGGCTGATCTAAGTCAGGGAATGGCTCACTCACATATTAAATCCTGAAACAACCTCTTGGCTGGTTGGCCCCAGTTGTAATTTAGCGTGTTAGGTTTTTTCAGAGGGAGAAAAACCAGAGAACCTGGAGTACAAAACCCTTGAATCAAGGTACAAAATAGCCGCCATCTTGGAAATATGTCCCCTTAAACAACCCCACAATGCACTGCAATACCAACTCGAACCCAGTTTTTTCCTCGACCTGAGGAAAGGCTGATAAACATGTAGATATTTACACAAGATCAATTTTCCCAAGCGTCAACTGTCAGTAATGTAAAGAAGGTGTACTTTGAATCATACACATGTTTGACAAGCCATGGACTCAGTTTCATCCCAAAGGCGAGGCTAATTAAAAACTCTCTTGTCTGACTATTATTTACCACCGCAAGGAGGTCTACACCCTCAGAGTGGAACTGAACGCAATAAGATATGCGGTCATCTAATATATGCGGCACCAAGAATCCACAATCAATTGTATTTCTACTTCAAAGTTATATTGATATAATTAAATATATCAAGTATGAGAGATTTAAAAGTACATACCATCTTTAAATAACCACAGGGGCTAGACTAAGACAAATGGCCAGACTTACAAACAAGAGATTACATAAACATAATATACAAAAACTACAACAACAATATTGGACAGTAGTAATGGTAGATTAAGTAGAATGAGAAGATATTATAATAAAACAAATAATGCAGAAAGAAAGAATGAAAACTAGGATGTCAGCAAATAGCACAAAAATACAAGTCATAATGACATTCCTTGGAAAAAAAATTATGCCTTTTGCGATGTGCTGTTCAAAGGAACATATAAGCCATCCTGAGGTTGACGGATGATAGCGGGTTGAGTTGCGGGTGTTTCAGTCAAAGATGTTAGCAGGTGTGGCCATTTGATAACCCGGCTTTTGAGAGCCCATCAAGATGCAAGACAAACTGGCGCCGGTTGCTTTGTTGGACTTCTATGTTGGTTTAACCCTCATTTCCCCAGACAAACGACTTCCTTTAGGTATTAGAACTTGATTTGGGAATGCAGTTGAAAGGGAATGCATTGCTCACTTCCACAATCAATTAAATCGGAGCTATCTAAGAGCTATCTTAACCGATACGAAATCCGATCTGATTGAGAACTGGTAAAACTGAGTGCAAACAGACACCAAATTGAAACCGAACGTTTCCAATGCAAATAGAGACGTTTATGTTCCTGAACCAAGAAGAGAACAAAACAACCGCTACTTAGCAAAATGAATGCGCTCAACTCGAATGTTACTAAAAATTGCTCGACATTAAAATGCGTAGAAGCACTAGGCTGGTACAAGGAACCGACAGGATCAATCGCATTTCGTCTCTCTATCTTCTGCTTCGTCATTCTCTGCTCGTTGATCGGGAACTTCATCGTGGTGAAAGCGATTCGTGAACGACCTCACTTAAGAAAGCCGTTCCCGTACTTCGTCGTGACAAGCCTTGCGGTGGCTGAACTCATAGGCACAATCTGCTTGCCTTTCTTTCAAGCGTACGATGACTTGATGACTTGGCCTTTTGGGGACACCATGTGTAGGTTGATCAACGCATTTATGCTCATATCCTACTTTGTCATTCCGTGGTCCCTCGCTACCATTGCTTATCTCAGATTCCGCACCTTCTCTAAGCGTCAAATCTTCTTTCTTTCTGGAAAGCGGATCGTGTTTTTCATGGGGCTGATGTGGTTCTGTGGGTGTCTGGTTAGTGCGCCGACTTACATCTTTGCTCTCGAGGTCAAGACCATCTACGATAACCATTCCTACTGGTGCATCGAGCTGTTCCCAGGCGACACCCTTCATAAACACCCCTCCCTCTCCCTCAGAAGGTACTACTTTGTTCGTTTTGTACTAAACTTTGCATTACCAGGGTTCATCATCGTGTTTGCCTATGGCGGAGTTGCGTCGAAACTCAAACGGCACCTGATCGCCTCGACTCAGCAAGCCCACAGCGACCGCGACGACGGCGAACCGGAGCCACATACATTGAGCACCATCAACAACACCAGCACCTCCGAATCCCTTGGAAATGTAGCATTAGGTGAATCAGTTCCTTCTGAAGCCGAAAGCCACACCGATATTAGGCAAGACGAAAGAATGAGCGGAGATCAGCTAAAAGAGATCGAAAACGACATCCTTCGAATGATCTACATTGTGATTCTCATCTACGTGGGTTGCTATGTGCCATACCAAGTAGTTTTCTTGATGGAGTATTTTGGTTCTGCTCTTCTGAAATGGAAGTATTACGTCATCGCTCGCAAGTATGTCTACCTTCTGACCTGTTTCCCCAGTGCTCTCCATCCTGTATGCTATGGAACGATGAGTAAGTTTTACGCTCAAGTGTTTTCGAGGTTGATTTTGTGCAAGAAAGCTCGTCGTTAGAAGTTTTATCTCGCACGACAACCGTGGTTTTGCGGTACAAACATTTTGCCAAAATACTATTCATTTCGTACTCGAAATATTGGTGTTAGATTYTGTCCTTTGCTGTTGTTGCAAGGCTTGCGTTTTGTGAAACAATATATCTTTTTCTCGAGGTTGCGCGCTCATCCAAATTTAAGAAACGTGACGTACGGGCCACGAAACCAGAACAGGAGCTTTATAATGACAATTATCATACCTTTCTATGAGATTTTTTAAAAAGAATTTATAAAATCGCTTGTTCTCCGTCCTCTTTAAACACACAATTGGCTTCTCAATTTTACTGAATTTTGCGTTTTTCAGTTTTGTGGCCCGTCAAGATTGGATGCGCACGCAACCTCGAGAAAACGATCTGTTAACGGTTTGATTTGAAATTGTGCTGAAATTTCGACGTTAAATATGTCTTGTAGGACTTAAAATTATATTTAATGTTCGAATTTTATTGATTCTACATGAAGTAAATAGTTGAATGGTAAAATATTTCTTGATTTGAAACTTGTAGATAAATTGGATCACCGTAAAAAGCTTTGTGAAACTGACGTTTCGTACGTTAGTCCTTCGTCGGAGTAAGTTACTCCGATAAAAGAAAAGAAAGAAAAAAAAAAGAGAAGAAAAGAAAAAGAGAAAGAGAGAAAAGAGGGTCATAGATCCAGAAAATGAAGGTATCATACTTAAAGGATCGGAAAAGGAAAAAGCCTTAGAATGAATAGATCCGGTTGTACGAAGAGTGGATAGCGCTATTCAATGGATCAGTAAACCCTTAACCGGGCCAGCCGGAGCCAATAGAAGAGCTGGCTTAGCAACTCCGAAAACTGAACCGGATTACATTGGGCAATTTGTAATATATAAAGTCGATACACCTCTATTTCTTAGAGTGCACATGAACCCTTCGATAATACTTTCAGTACTGATTCTACATGAAGTAAATAGTTGAATGGTAAAATATTTCTTGATTTGA